CCCCTGAAACCAGAAAAAATGACTGTTTGGCGCGCGACGATCGCGGCTCACTTTTCGCCTCGCATACTATAATATTGGTTCAAAATGTTTTACTTTTTCTTCTGCTTTATATTTATCGTTTAAAATTGATTTTCTATAGTTATTTTGTATTTTTTATTTTTTTTTAATATTAATTATGTTTTTTAACCCTTATTGGTGAAAATTGGTGAATTTTTCTATATTTTTTTCACCTTCATCTTCATCTTCATCTTTTTTTTTATAAGTTTTTTGTAAATTTTGTTTAACATGAATGATTTTTTTCATTATTTCTGTTTCGTTTTCTAAATTAGTTTCTTTCTTAAAACTGTTTTGGGTTTCTGATGGTTCCTCCATTAATGTAACTTTTAAATTTTTTTTTTATTTTTTTTGAATTTGTGTAATATCCATTTATTACACCAAAAATAAAAAATTTTCATCGTTCATCGATATTTAAAATATCATTACCTTTATTGTCATAGATTAAATTTTTTATTAAGTCTATTGTTATAAAACAATATGTTTTAATTTTATTTTTTTTATCATATGTTTTACAATAAGTTCTACAAATTTCTTTAAATTTTTCTAATGGTATTATTTTACTAATCAAATCGAACCATATTTTTTCAATAAAATAATTTGACTGATTAAAAACAATTAAAACATTCAAATTATTTGTTATTGTTTTTATGTCTTCTGAAGTATAATTTTGTGTTAAATAAATAACACTAATATTTTTTGATCTTGATCTTATAAAATATTATTTTATCAACTTTATCTAAAACCACTAAACTCTTAGATTCACAATCATTCACAGATATTATATCATCATTAGAAAAATGAGTGATTATAGAAGGTATGTCATTAAATATTTTTTTAAATTTTTTATAGACTGGTTGATCAATATTTTTCGTAAACAAATATAGATTTAAATATGGTATGCAATAATTTATAATCAGGTTATACAACAGAGTTGTTTTACCACAACCAGATGGTCCTACTAATAAACCACGTGAAGGTATTTCAAATAAATATTGTTCTTTATTTTCATCTTCAATAAAATGTTTTACTACAACTTTATTCATTTATTAAAAAATATACATATATTTGCTATTGTAAACAATAATGTATAATATTTTTAAAAAATACGATCAACATATTGAAAGAGTTCAATATAAAACTTTTTTACCTGTGAATAGTTCACAACTTAATACACCTAATAAAACTACAACTTTTAGAATAGATAATATGGATGATTTTCTGAATATTGCAAATATAAAATTTTTTATTTATGGTAGATATTTGCAAAAAGATGGAAAAGATTATCCTAAAGGAACAAACATACAACTAATCGATAATTTTGTTGCATATTTATTTTCTAATATTGTAGTTAAAAAAAATGGCAAAGTAGTGGATGAAAGCGAATATGTAGAAATTACTAGTACAATTAAAGGTGTGGCAAGTTATTTAGTGGATCAAAACGGCCCAACTATAAACTCAGGATTTGCAAGCAAATTTAAAGGCGGAGATTATTTTAATGCTATGGGTAAAGCATCACAATTAGGGTTAGGATTTTTAAAAGACATAATATATCCTATTTTCAAAGGTGATATGGAAATAATTTTTACAAGAAATACAGATAATGATGCTTTGTTAAAAAAAGTTATAACAGGAACAGAAGATGGAAAGATTATTATTGATGAATTTACACTTCAAGTTCCTATAATAGATTACGGAGTGCATAAAGTTTTATTGATAAATGAGTTAACAAAATTGTCTCAAGAAAAATTATATACTTTTAATTTTAGATCATGACAATGTATTGAAGAAAGAAATATATCAGGAAAAACTATAAAACTCGATTTAACAAGTCAATATCGAAGTCTTAATACTCCTTCGTTTGGAGGTGTAGTATTTCAAACAAACATATTAAATACACAAGATCATGATCCTTGTGAATTTGATCATTGTCATGTAAAAAATTATTGGTTTGAAATAAATGGAAAACATTATCCTGAAGAAACTCAAGATTCTAGATTTTAAGAATAATAAATTTTGTATAGCTTATGAGAATTTGATGGAGTATAAAAGAAATACTCATAAAAAATCATCAAGAACATACATCCATTAATGTATAATAATCCGTATGATTTAATTTTATAAAATTTAATATTGTATATATATATATTTTTTGTACAGCTGCGCGACTGTTGGGTCGTCTTCGGTTTATCGCCTGACCTGGGCCGGCGGAAGGCATGTGCGGGCAGTGCATTCGCACAGGGCGGCGATATTACAGGGGCGGCAATACGGGCAAGGCGAAAATTATGCAATACAAACTATACAGATGAAAACATACTTAAAGGATAAAACTCTATAACGATTATAAATTATTAACATTGATTTATTATTAATAATAATTAATATATAGATAAGCAATAAACAGCCGTTTATTTATTAATAGTAAAGCAAAAATCCAATGACTACATAACGTTACTTGTCTTATAGTCGCAAAAATAATATTATCGGCTATCATACTACGTAATATAGCAAAACAACACCCATTCTATGTTTACCCCTCTTGAACACGGTGATGCGCGACGTCCAGCCACTAATAACAATAGAACGGCTTATCTGTACATTATATAATCAATGATATAATTATAAACTACAATATAACTGTGGTCTATCGTCTATGTTAGATTTTACACATCACTTTATATGATTATTTTTTCGTTCATCGTCACACGATACACACATAATTTATTTACATTGGCCTACTGACAGACAACGAACAATTAATCATTAATTATTACTTATTACTAATAAGTTATTAGTAATTACATTGTGATTTGCGAGGTAAGTTTATATTGTTTATTCTTATTCGAAATTACTCTAAAAATATAAATTATTTATAAGTAATAGATATTGAATCATTGTAGGATAAAATACAAGTTTTTAACAATAATTATTATATTAAACATTTATTATAATTAGGGCTGAGGTGTTGGGGACTTATATTTTGTAATATTTCTAAATACGAACAAATATAAAATGAGGATGAACTTGGACACATAAAAATGTATTAGAAAAGTGTCTGTATAATTTCACTGTATTTATTTTACGACTATTGTGTATTGGTGTATTATTATTACTCGTTGTTATATTTATAATATAAATGAAAATAGCAAAGGACGAAATTAATTTTTCAAGTTTTATAAAAAAAAATCATTCATATTTATTGTATATTATATATTTTAAATGCCTTATTTCATAATTATTATAAATAATATAATTTGTCATATTTTAATTTAAAAATAAAACAAAAATTATCCATTTTTAGCTTAATCAGATTTGATAAATATGTCAGATGGCAGGCATCGTCTTTCGGGGGATGAATATAGAAAAAGGAAAGCTGAAAAGGAAGCAAACATAAAAAAACAAGCAGGATCATTAAAAAAATTTTTCCAACAAGCTATTGTTCATGAATCTGCGAGTAATAATGTAATTAGTAATCATAATGAAAATACATCTGCATCAACAGTTACTTCTGACAATGTTGATGAAAATCCGTTAAAAACCGATATTGACTTGACTAATACGTTAGTCTCTTTAAAAGATTCTTCGAACCATTTAATTTCATCTGAATCTAAAGAATTAACGTTAATTTTAGGCACTGATCCTGCAACTTGGCCAAGTTTTTTAAGCGACAAGTTAAAAACAATAATCGTTGAAAAAGGCCCTCCTTCTCCCATTGACGATTCTTTCGGATTTCCTTTGGATGACAACAATCGTAGATTTACAGTTTTTTAATTATCAACGTTGCCTAAGTAACGGAGAAAATGTTCCTAGAACATGGCTTGTCTATTCCTTGTCCAAGAATGTTATTTTCTGCTATTACTGTAAACTGTTTTCAACTTCAAAAACTAAACTAGGAACAGATGGATCTAATGACTGGCGACACGTTTCTACTATTTTAAAAGAACACGAGACCTCAAATTCCCATCTTAGATCACACCAAACTTGGATAGAATTTTCTTCAAGACTAAAATCTAAAAAAACGATTGATGACTCTAATCAACGTATACTTGAATCAGAAAAAAAATACTGGAATGCGGTTTTACAGAGAATTGTGTCAGTAATACAGCTTTTAGGTCAGCAAAATTTAGCATTTCGTGGTTCATCAGATCAACTTTATAAACAAAACAACGGCAATTTTTTAAAAATTATAGAGCTCATGGCGATATATGATCCTGTAATGTCTGAACATGTTAGACGAACAATGAATAGTAAAAATAAAACTCATTATTTAGGAAAAGACATACAAAACGAAATCATAAGCTTAATATCCGGTGCTATTAAGACACGCATACTAAATATGGTTAAGGAATCGAAATATTATAGCATAATTTTAGACTGTACTCCTGATTTAAGCCACGTTGAACAAATGACCATTATTATTCGTTTTGTATTTGTTGAATCATCTAAAAAAGAGTCAAATGTTGCAATTTGTGAACATTTTCTCGGTTTTATTCCCGCAGAAAGTAATACTGGAATGGGCCTTTCTGATATTATTATACAACAATTGAAGGACTTGGGAATTCCAATTGAAAATATGAGAGGCCAGGGATATGATAACGGTACAAATATGAAAGGCAAACATTCTGGTGTACAACGAAGAATTCGCAACATTAATCCTCGCGCTTTCTTCGTTCCTTGCAGTGCACATTCGCTTAATCTTGTTGTAAATGATGCAGTTAAGTCATCCAAAGAGGCGATTGAGTTTTTCGATATAATTCAAAAAATTTACATTTTTTTTTTCGGCATCTACACACCGTTGGCAAATTCTTTTAAGACATATTACAAATTTAACGGTAAAACCATTGAGCCAGACAAGATGGGAAAGTAGAATCGAAGCACTTAAACCTTTTCGCCACCAAATTAGAGAAATATATAATGCTTTATTCGAAATTGTGCAAGATAAAAATATGGATTCTATGACTAGACATGAAGCTGAATGTCTTTGTAAGTATATTGAACAATTTAAGTTCCTTTGTTCTATCATCATTTGGTATGATTTACTCAATCAAATTAATCCTGTTAGCAAATTAATGCAAAAAATTAATTTTGATATTAGTGCAGCTATAAAAATATTGGAAGCATTATTATCATATTTGAAACAGCAAAGACTTGATAGTGATAATTCATTTGATAAATATGTTATTGAAGCTTCAAGACTGGTATCAGAAATTGATGTGGTGTCTGTATTTGAGCAATCGGCTGGAAGAATCAAAGCACGTCGTGTTAAAAGACAATTTGATTACGAAAACATGGATGAACCTATTATTGATCCAAAAATTAATTTCAAAGTTAACTTCTTTAATAATATATTTGATATTGCCATTAATAGTATAAACGATAGATTTGAACAGATTAAGGAACACAGCGATTATTTTTCTTTTCTATATGACATAAATAAATTAAAATATATGACATACGATTACCTATTAAACCACTGCAAAGATTTGCAACTATTTTTTAACGGATGGAGATTCAGCCGATATCAACGGACTTGAAATGGCAGATGAACTCAGAGTGATAATACCAATGGTTGAATCTAACTTGTCTCCGATTGAACTTTTAAAGTTTGTAATTAATATTGGATCATTTGCACCAAATTTATCAATTGCACTACGTATACTTTTAGCTTTACCCGTAACTGTTGCAAGTGGTGAAAGGAGCTTTTCTAAGCTCAAGCTAATAAAAACATACCTCCGCTCAACAATGGCAAATGATCGTCTTAGTGGACTGGCTATGATAGCTATCGAGCACCAATTATGTCGAGAGTTAGACATTGAAGAAATTATAAAGGATTTCTCAAACGCCAAGGCAAGAAAAGTGTTTCATTAATAGAATTCATTTAAAATTATGTAAAACTTATTTGTTTTCTTTTAAATAAAATAAATTGACTATAGATGACTTTGGTTTTCATTTTTAATATTTTTTTTGGTTCTATTAAAATAACTCGTTTACGCAATAATTGGTAATAATTATAATAGGTAAATATCGTATATTATATTTGAATTTTGAGTCAACATATAATCATCTATGGTTTGTTTGAAACTGTTTATTATTCAATTTGAGTGAATAATAATAATAATTTTTTTTTTGCACGAAAAAAATGTAGGTATATAGGGCGGCATTTTTATAAATTGGCACAGGGCGGCCAAATGCCTAGCACTGGCACTGCGCCTGACCGACAAAACACGCGTACGCTTTATTATTATTATTATTATTACTTTTATATTTATGTATACGGAACGACCCGACGACGGTCGTCCGATAGTTTATCTTTTGCGATGTCAAGCAGTCGATGCCTAACCGTGTCCCCGTAAATATATAATTATTATGATATAAATAAAAGAGTGTCTTTCATCGATTTATTTTTTTTCTATCATTATTATTTTTTTTTCCATCTTTTGGCCATCACCTGAAGTATGCACCCTACAGTTTCAGAAGTGGGATAGAAGATTGGATGTTATACAAATTCCGGTATTAACAGATTGAACCAATCGAATGAACTGAATGCATCGAATGTAATTAATTTATTAGAAAGGAAACAATAAAACGGATAGAATGAACGAAGGTATTTCTATGTCGACAAATTGGTATGTCATTTTACGAAAGTAAAATTCAGGTATTAGAAGGTTTATATTCGAAAGAGTTGAGCATGTATTTACTGGGTCGCAACCACGTGGACGAAGATGATTAATTAAGCTTTATGGTAGAATACGATCATGTCCCGGTCAGTACGAATACGGCAAGTATCAAGTACTAAAGAAAACCCGTCACAAAAATCGGCAACGTCACATCCAATCAATGTCGTGGCCGGCCGTCAAGCAAGAGGACACAAAAGTAACCGTAGAAAGAAAGAGTGCATCATTGCCGCGTTTATGTTTCAATTGTGGCGCAAAAACTCATTTGTCACCGCAGTGCTCAAAACCTAAGCGCGAAAAGGGAGCGTATTACGAATGCGGATCGATAGCGCACCAACGAGGATCTTGTCCAGTACTCATGCGAGAGAATGATGACAAAAAAAAGGAAAGTCAACTGGTTTGTTAAGCATCGATATCGTACGAAACCAGAGCCCCCTCCCCCCGATGAGTATCCACCGCCGTATGAGGTACAATATCAATTCAACATTCCAGTGGAAGAATCAGAGTATTGCTGCATCAATGTCAATGCCGTGGTCGATACAGGAAGTCCAATCAGTATAATCAAGAGTGAGTTAGTTCCATCTATATTATATACGACGCAAATGGTGAGTAAAAATAATTTTTGTGGTATTAACGGCGCGAAGTTGGATATATGCGGTGTATTCGAAACGAACGTAATCATTAATAATATTGAAATGCATTTAAAATTTTATGTTGTGTCTAATTATACTATGAAAGCGAATGCGATTTTGGGGAGAGACTTTTTAAATGTGAAAGGATTTAAAATTGAATTTAAAAATAATATTGTAAATATAGTAGAATTAGATACAGGGAAATTGGACAAAACCGATGTTAATTTTAAAGAAATATTGTGTATCGATTATGACGACTGTGCCGATAACAGTAACAATAATACAACGTTAAATGTGAATCCCAAATTAAATTTAGAATAGAAGAATGTATTTAATGAATTATATAACGTCAATTATATGTCAAATAGAGAGATATGTAATGAGGATTTCGATTTTGATATGAAAATAATCTTAAAGCATGAACAACCCATTAATAACACGATACACAGGACCACCGGACAAAGTCCAAGTATGTTATTATTTGGAATAAATCAAACAGGGGAAGTTAACGATGAAGTACGAAGAGTGTTGGGTAATATAGTGTCTGAGGATGTAGTTGATATTGAGAATGTGAGAACGGAAGCAGCGAATCGCATTGTAAAATCTCAGGAAGCGAACAAGATACATTATGATGCGAAACATAAAGAGACAACCATGTATAAGGAAAATGACCAGTGGCGGCGCGTTAGGGTAGACAATGAGACATAGTCTACCCAAAAATCCCAAAAATATAAAACAATTTAATTAAAAAAATTAGTTATTTATTATATGATACTATACCTACTATATAAGTATTTTATTTGTTCATAATTTTATAAATAAAATGTTATTTACACTGATTCGTCTCTACAATGTCTGTGTGAGTAACGACTAACGAGTATGACTAAATAATAAATATATATAGTATAATTTTATTTATATCTTATCAATAATTATGTAATCGCTCCGTTGTCGCCGTCAAATCGGTCGAGACATATTGAATTGTGTCTCACTATTGATGACGAGGGCTTATGACATGGTAAACGGGGACGTAGTGGGGTATTACCAAAATTATATGCATGGACGAGACATGTCTCAACGTAATATTTTAGTAATTTAATTGCACATTTGCATTCCGATTGTGGTTAATGGCACACGTTTAATGTTTATCATTTTTTCTTAATGAAGTGATATACATTTAAAACTTAATATGTCAGATATTATTGATATTATTTTAAATAAAGGTCTTGGTTCTTTTTCGCAACAAAACAAAATCGGCGAATTAATTTAAATTATATTCAAATATAGTTATTTTATGTAATTTACTTTTTTTTATGATGATCTAATTTTTAAATAAATTTTATATAACACCATATTATCTTTGGTTGTCTTGTTGTCTACCCTACGAAATTGTTCACGCGCCGCCACTGAAAATGACTATGTAATGATCACCAATACAGACGTAACCGTCGGATATAATAAAAAATTAATCCCAAAATTTCGAGGACCGTATGTTATTAAAAAAGTATTAGATCGAGATAGATATGTTGTGAGCGACATCGAAGGCTTTCAGGTCACACGACGTCCGTATGAAGACATTGTAGGACCAGACCGTATTAAAAGATGGGTGAAATAGAAATTAATTGATTTTATTTTTTTCATTATATAAATTTGTCACTTATTTTGTATGTAATATTATCATTCGTATTCTATGTATTATTTATGCGTAATTGTATAATTAATATTTTTTTTTTATATGTATGTTGTAAAGACCAAAAGGGCTATTATTCATAATTATTTTTATTTTTTTTTGAGTGAAATTGTTCGGGACGAACAAAAATGTCAGTATGGTCGAACTGTATGATTTAATTTTATATAATATAATATTGTATATATATATATTTTGTACAGCTGCGCGATTGTTGGGTCGTCTTCGGTTTATCGCCCGACCGACAAAACACACGTACGCTTTATTATTATTATTATTATTATTATTATTACTTTTATATTTATGTATACGGAACGACCCGACGATGGTCGTCCGATAGTTATTCTTTTGCGATGTCAAGCAGTCGATGCCTAACCGTGTCCCCGTAAATATATAATTATTATGATATAAATAAAAGAGTGTCTTTCATCGATTCATTTTTTTTTTCTATAATTATTATTTTTTTTTTCCATCTTTTGGCCATCACCTGAAGTATGCACTAGAGCACTGCATGGGCCTATTTTTTCAAGCCCAGCCCGGTCCATATCTAATATGAAAAACCCGGCCCATTAGAGTCCTCTACTATTTTAATTTATGAAACCCAAGCCCTCCCAAAGTTAAAATTAAATAATGAAGCCCACCCAGCCCTAACCATTCTAATACGATTCCCAGCCCAGTCCGGCCCAGTGAAAGCCCAGCCCAACCAGGCTCGGTGAAGGCCCTTATATATAACAATTATTTATAAAGTTTTCAACTTTTCAACATTTATTATTTAGTAAATACAAATATATAGTATAATGTATTTATGTATAGTATATTATATTGTATACAGTATACAAAAGTCATAGAATAATAATAATTTGTAGTTTGTACATTTTTATATATTATTTATTATACTTATTACTTATATAATATTGTATTTACATTTATTTTTATAATAATCATTTAAAAACAAAATCGACTCTACTGTATTCCCCTTTAAGCATGTCCTCCTTTCTTCGATTACTCGTCCGGAAGTACTAAAGGCACGTTCACTTCCGGCACTTGTAGCAGGTATGGCAAATATCCTCATTGCCAATTTTACCATCATAGGCATTTTTATTTGTCGTTCTTTCCACCATTGCAATACATTTTGATTCGGTTCATAATGTTCCAATTGGTACATGGATAATTCATCTTCACATGTATATCTGGTTCTGGTACTTGATCCTTTATCAATATCTGCCCACTCTGAGAACATGTCTTCGTTTGAATAATTGAGATTTCCTGTTTGTGATGTATTTTCTGGTGGATTATTCGGCATTTGTTCTTGAATGTTATGAAGTTGAACTTTAACATTTTCAATTATTCGGTCTCTTTCAGTTTGCGAGTCTACCATTTTTAATTTTTTATATGGAGGCCATAAGAATAGAGCTATTTCATGGTACTTATCGAGTTTGAATTTTTCTTGAACTGCATGTAAAGAACGAGAAGCTAATTGAGAAAACATGATTTGTATATTATCGTCACGTCTATTATGTTTATATGACAAAAGATGCTTTAATAGTTTTGCTTTGTGTAACATAACCAAATTAATTGTTGGATACGAAGTTCCTTCAAGCTGGGTTGATGCATTTTTGAATGGCACTAAAAAATCAATTAATTTTGAAAGAAGGTTATAGTCTATTTCACTCATTTTTCTACTGTCTTGTCCATATAATTGTATTACCTCACATATACATATCAAACAAAGATTGTAACATAGCTAAGTTTGAATTCCATCTTGTTTCTACTGACTGGAGAAGAGATTTTGATAGTAAATTATTTTCACCTGACTTCTTCATATATCTTACCAATGATTTGGTTGCAGTAATTAAGTTAGATATTTGTTCAAGATCGATTTCTTCCTCTGTTTGACTGCTATCGTTGTTTTCTATGCCTTTAAATGTGTATTGCAATACATTATGAATAATGTGTGCAGAGCAATTTAATCGTATATTTGGTTCCAAGGCTTTGATTATATTTGAACCTCTATCAGTTACCCATACAAAATTTGATAACCAATCATCACCATCATATTGTGGCCAAGCACTGAAAAAATCTTTAAGACTTCTTCTTACATTTTCACCGCTTTTTTTTTGATCAATAGGAAACTGTCTGACGCATACTATATTCGAATTAAGAACCCAATTATCATCAATGTAATGTATAGTTACAGCAGTATAACCAATTTTTTTATAATTATCGGTCCACATATCCGTAGTAGTAGAACATCGTTTTTGTTCAATGTATAAGATGAGCTTTGACATAAGTTCATTTCTTAGTGTTGTTGCACTCTTTATACAATTTTTTCGATACCGTAGTTGGGTTAGGTAGCACGTCATTTACATCCACTGCACCATATTTCGCACCTGTATTTACTAGAAATTGACATAATGACTTAAATCCATCACCATTGATAGCTGAAAATGACCTCAAGTCTAAAGCACAACATTTGACACATTCATCGATTGCATCATGTGAAACTTTTTCAGGAATCTTTATTTTAATTTTTTTTGTCACAAACTCATCCATACTAGAATTTCCCTTTGTTACTACTGCGCATTTGTGCCGTTTTAAGTGGGATGTACCAGTACCAGGTAAATTACTTAGTAAAATTTTACATTTGTTACAGCTAACATAACCAGTTCTTTTATCGGTATTTGCATACAACACATGACTAAATACTGTCCACACGTCACTTTTTCCATTTGAAGATTCGTCACTTATGAAACATTCTCTACTTTTAATTTTTTTTTTCAATGAATTTTTTGTCCTCTCTATCTATACTTGCAGCAATTACCGGGGATTCAATAATGTCTTCCATATTACCTAAATCATAAACCAATAATTTTATTTTCAAGACTATAGCGACTATGTGTCGACTGTCGACGTCGGCCATCAGAGCAATACCTATTACCTAGTACCTACTACCTACCGTTGTTTTTTTTCAACATACCTAATTCTTCTTATTATTATTATTTAGTATTTGAAATAAATAGACGTGCACAAATAATAATTTGATGCTCTAGTAATGAATAGTATGCCGGTAAACAAAATAATAATAAAATAGTGTAAATTCCTTGAATTATTTTCGTTTATAAATCATAATAATATATATTATAATAAAAATAAAACAAGTTTGGCAATATGAATTCTATAACTATACTATAACTTTACAAGCTTACAACTGTATATTATAAGAATAATATATAAATATATAATATATTTATGTATACAATAATTGTCATGGTCGCCGTCATCGACGGTTTTCTGGGAAAAATAACCATTACTTTGCTAAAAATAAACGAAAATAAAATCCGAATACACCGTTGAAAAAAGAAATTTCACTGAATAACGACGTATACGTATACAAACAGAAGAATTGCTCTGATAACCGAGTAAATTATAAGGCCATAAAGATGCGTATATAAATTGTCCCGTCGACTGCGGCACTCCAACGTGTTAAGCATGAAGCAATAACAACGACCAAAATCAGTTGCACTAGCAATTTTTTTTTATTAATACAAAATATGTCGCTGCTAAATATTATCACACGAATTGATTATTAATAAGAATAACAAAATCATGACAACTAAATATATTAGATAGTTTATTGAATACGCAAATGGCAAAATATTTACAGCCGTCAGTCACAAGCCAGTCAAGCCATAAGTTCAACGCCTATAGTGAATACTTAATAAATTCTGAAACCTCATACTAAATAAATACTAATAACAAAGTAGCACACGCCACACGCCCGCCACTGTTAAATACCAATTAATTAATAATTATATTAAAAAAATTAGTTACTTGTTACCTACTTAGTTCGTGTTCATACGTCCGTACTCCGTAATCCGCAGTGCAGTCGTTCAATATTTGATGTACGTCCGACGTCGTGGTCGTACGATAGTCAAACGACAAATGAGTAATGACGTTAATAAACAAACTATTATTATTATATTAATATTTTAAAATAAAATTGTTATTATTCTTAAGAATTTTCATACAACGATAATGATAATATGACATATAGCTAATAGTGAATAGTGGTATAATAATAACGTATAATAACTATACGTTTATACTTTATAGTTATTATTAATTTATTATTATTTATAGAAATATCCTTATATTACGATTACGAAAACTATTTCCAATAACCATCGGGTATATAATATTTTATAATGTTTATATATAATCGCTTATATTATAATCGCTATTAGTTTGTAGTGCATTCATCAAATAATAGATTTAAAAATAATTAAAAATAATTTACAGACCCAACCCAGCCCGTACCCTGATATAAAATGCCCGACCCATTAAAGCCCAACACTATTCTAATTTTCGAAACCCAAGTCCATCTTAGATTAATTTAAAAAAGCAAAGCCCACTCAGGCCCGTACACTTAAAATAAATATGCAGCCCGGCCCGGCCCAATGTACCAATGGGCCGGGCCGGGCTCAAGCCAGGGCTGGGCCAGCCCGGCCCATGCAGTGCTCTAGTATGCACCCTACAAATCCAAACGAATTTTAAAGTTTTAGAGCAATATATCGTGTTAACATGAGTAGACAACTAATAATAGTCCAGTCAAGGAATGACCCAAAAGGAGGGGTAGAATGCGTGAGCAGGTAACTAAATGATTCCTTCGGAAACTTGTTCAGGGGTCTTAGGGTGTTAACATACCAAAAGTCCTGACACCTAGGTGGTGAGCCGGAAGGGGGAGGGGGGAGTAAAGATACGCATTTTGGGTTTTTTGCTTATAACTCGAAAACGGTGCATCGGAGGGAAATTTTTTTCAATAACAAAATAAAGCTCATAAAATTATCTAAAACTTTTATATTATATGTTTTTTTCATATTCGCAACCGTTTTCGAGCTTTCTTTAAAATAAAACCAGGTTTTACACTGTATATAGCTGACATTTCTAACTTTTGTGCTTCGTGACACGATGCACAAAAGCCCAAATTTGCAAGTAGATCGATTAAATGTCTTGAAGCATACTTTCTGTATATAAGCAATGACAGACTGCATAATAGTGGTGATACAAAGGTTCTAGGTCTGACAATCCCAATAATGGCATTTCCCAGTGCAGCACATTTTCTCCTTGTTTCTTCTTTTCTCTTTGTCTTCGACAATAGAAGACCTTCAAGGAAAAAAAGTCAGGGATTGCGGCATTGCACCTGGATTTTTCAAAAAGTCGTCTCTAGGAGGGTACGTGTCTGTGCTGTACACTTGACTCTGAATATCTTGCCGCAAAATTTCCACAGCTTTATCAACAATTCTCAACCTCTCTTCTTCTTCATTTTTGGCCTTGTTTCCATACCACGCTTCATTGATAATTTTGTTTCCACTATCTCTAAAACATACCACTGGCACACTAAATCTGTTGGCACCTGGAGTGATTAGTATCCGATCTCCATATATCCTCTCCAACTCAGCCTTGATCGTCCGCCACTGGGGTTTGGTCTCTGATATTATACCCATTATTTCATCTTTAGAAAACTGACAATCACTGCTTCCCTCCAAGTAGATGCAAATCTCTTCCATAGCCTTTGAAACATGGCTGTCTCTTGGGATCTCAGTTTTTGGTGTTTGTATGCTCGTGGGCTTCAAAAATTAATATAGCAGTCTTTGTGGTATACTGCTTCCTCAGTAACAAGATCGTTAATCGAGAATAAGCGACCAAGAACTTCGTCACCTAAAGTATCCTGCCTCATAGAACACACCTCCCTGATTCGATTTTGAACAGTTAAAGTCTCAACTGAATGCACAATTCTCCTTTTTTCCAACGGCTTTTTGATTTCTTCCTTTGCACAATGTCCACAGAACAAACAATTGTTCTTAAAATTGAATTTAGGAACTGAAGACCGGAGCTGAGATGGTCCTGTCTCTTCCTTGTATGTGGATGCCTCCCTAACAAATTTTTTTACTGTGTCAGACCTGGTGTAATTTTTACGACAGCTTATGTGAATTAAAAAGGATGTCAAACCACGGAAACTTTCAAGCTTATCGTCTTTCCGTTTTTACTTGCTTTAACAAGGCCTAGTATACCCTTTTCTTTAACTTCACAGACATTTTTACTTCCCCTAATAACATCATATAGGCACACGGGACATTTAGTAGTGCTCATTGTAATATCTGTTAACAATATATTATATATCATATATATAAATGGTGGTTCACGATGAACTGAAAATTGCTATACTTAACTTTTTTTTTAAATAGTCAATTGTCGTCTACGCTACATATATCATATCTTTATTATCTTATTATTTATTGAAAGTGTTATTTTAAGTTATTTTAAGTGCACAATTTTGCATCATTTTTAATAATCGATTTTTTAGATCCTATGCAAACATGACAACACAAAATGTAGTGCATAAAATAATTGACCTTGAATATATTTTTAATTTTATGACATTAATAATTCCATTTATTCTTATATTGTGGGGTCTTATTGATATTTAATATTCGAAAAAATATTTAATAAATGATAAACTGAAATTATGAAATTTAATTAAACATGTTATTGTATCTAAATAAATATTATAATATTATAATTAAAGACCGGATTCAGTTGCACTAAAAATATGTAAAAATTTCAATGAAAAAAAATACAATAATTGCATAATAAAATCATCTAATTGCTTCAAGA